CCGGTTGCCAGCCAATCGCAGGGCACACAGAAACGAACAACCATTCGCGCCCACACTCACACTCACACCTACGGACAATTTTGAGTGTTCAATCAGCCATGCATGTTTTTGCAATGTGGGAGGAAACCGGAGGACCCGGGGAAATCCCACGCAAGTATGGGGAGAACATTTTTTTTTTTTTTTAAATAGTAGCTATAGTAGTACTCGTAGCTCAGTGTTCCAACATCCACAAACGGCAATTGGTATCACAACTTCAGATTGATGAGATACCTGCAAAGATTCCGTGGTGAAGGGTGACAGGCTGCCAGATCAGAGGAGGAGGTTATGCCAGAGATTGGGAGGCCAGCCCCAATGAATGAATGGTGAGCAAGGCAGCAACTGACCTGAAAGCTAAGATCATGGTGAGAATGAAGGCTGGACAACCTATAAACCGATTACAATGGCTATGTGAAGTACCACCTGAAAGTCACATGGAAAATGTGAATGCAGCACTGAGGGCGATCCCTACCGTAACAATCACGGAAACCAATGAGCTAACATACGCTTCAGCATCAGTGATCAAAGAGATGCTTGGCTATAAGAGCAACCATGGGAGCCATGAGATACGTTACCCACCATGGAAAAGACGATTGAGGCTAAGATCAAGGTGGCTCGGAAAGATGTGAGTCAATTGACGGAGACCCAGAGAGGTGTGATGAAAAGGCCGATACCTGAGAGGTACATCCAGGTGACCATACCTGATGCACTCGAAATTGCCAAACAAAGGCTCCAAGCATTGTCCAGTCGCCTAAAGAGGTACACGAAAGAGCATGACGAATAAACAGGCTGTTCGCAACACAACCTGCGAAAGTGTATGCTCTGTGGCAGGGTTCGAAGAGCAGGGTGCAGTCCCATCCAACTATTGGCCAATAACCTGTCTCTCCACAACATGGAAGCTCATGTCAGGCATCATTGCGACTAAGATAAGTGGACACATGGATCAATACATGAGCGAAGCACAGAAGGGCATTGGTAGAGATGCCAGAGGAGCCAAACATCAGCTCCTGGTTGACAGAACAGTCGCACAAGACTGCAGGTCCCGACATACCAACCTGTGCACAGCCTGGATTGATTACAAGAAAGCCTATGACTCAATGCCACATACATGGATCACTGAATGCTTGGAGTTGTATAAGGTGAACAGGACCCTAAGAGCCTTCATTGCAAACTCGATGAGGATGTGGAAAACCACACTCGAAGCCAATGGCAAGCCACTTACCCAAGTGTCCATCAAATGTGGAATATACCAAGGTGATGCACTCTC